TTTAAGCAGCATGAAGACAAGAATTCTTTAATTTATTTAAATTTCCAATCTAATATGAATATTCAGTGTCACGTGACATTGAATTTTCACTGAAATCTGAAATTTCATGATTTTACCCCCTAAATCGCATTCAGTGTCACTGTCCTGAAAATTCTAGAATATGTTTAACTGAATTTTCTGATTTTCTATTGATTTTCAGGGAAAAATGGAACGGAAATTTACAGTTCTCTTTGATTTTCCCTCGAAATTTTGAATTTTCAATGACGAAATTCCTTGAAATTTCAGTGGTAATTAACCGTAGATTGGTTAATCATCCTATGAAGGAAACCCCACCGCGCGTCATTTTTCTTTAATTACAATTGACTGACTAACCGGAAAAATTGACTTTGTCAAGTGAACTGCCTAAAAAATCATAGTTGTGTTTAACACAAGATATTTCCCCAAAATTCCTAAATAAAACAAATTATTTCGAGCAGATGAATTATTTTTTGACATGTTAAATGAAATTGCTCATGACGCGACGTTGCCGAAAACTCGCTAAACGCGCCCGAGCAGTGTAGAGAGAATCCGGTAACGTTAGAGGTGACCAAGTCACAGGGGCGCGTTTAGTGACCAGATTAGGGTTAAATTCGATAAAAATTTCCAAAAAATGTACCGGAAATTTCAGACGAAAATTTTTAACAGTGTAGAAAGGATTAGTTAATATTAACAAATATTCGGTCTCGCCAAATGTTCATTCATTAATAGTTAACAAATACATATTTGAGGAGACTTGTTGAACCATCCGTTAACTATTAACGAATATTTATTTGATCATATTCAACTCTATCATTCATTAATACTTAACGAATCTCGTTTGGAATAAATGAATCATTCTCGGAATCGCGGAAAAATTGCGAGACGAATAGTACATTTTTCTCCGTTGGCCCGGGAAAATTTACGGAACGTGCGGGTAATTTTTGCCAAAACTCTAGCACCACAAACGAGTCGCAATTTACACACTTCGAAAAAATTATTTTTTAGCACTAGAAAAATTCTTGTGCAGCACCAGAAAAATTGTTGTTCAACACTGTGCAAATTATTATAATTTTTCTGGTGCCACACGAGAATTTCTCTGGTCCTGAAAATTCTTAGTCCGATTACGACTCAATTATGGTGCACATTAATTTTTCTAGAAAATTTATCTCCATGTACGACAATTGAGACGTAAATATTAATGGAAAGTTTCTCCTCCTCTCGTTTCTTGGAACACAACGATTTGTAAACATTATTTCGATGGGTATTGATATGAGACGCCATTCATAATTGAATCACGCACAGATATCTGTTCCGGAGCCCCCTTGTTTTACCTGAGTCAATGGAACCACTCAACCTCGAATAATCGATATTTGTTCAGGGTCATCGTTAATATTTCGTACAATATATTAAACAGCCATGCCGAGATTTTCTACGAATCACCTTTGGAAATTTTTTCGAGCTGTTAACTCGTGTTATTGTACCGCCTTCCTCATCTCTCTGGCGGTGACAGGCGAGTTATTCATTAAGACACCTTCGAAACTCAGCTGGCACCAAGTTTAAGCAGTAATACGGGAATTAATGAGTCTAATGACATTGAGTACTAATATTTACATGTATACATCCTCCACTGGTCCTCGTTAGAGGAGTCAAACAGCTGGCAAACAGATGTATTTTAATGCTCGTATAATAGTACACGGTGAAAAAAGTTGGAGAAAAATTGCAAAACAAATCAAGTAATCGCGGAGCGGAATCCATTTCTAGGTCTTTTCCACCCCATGTCGGGGTAAAATGGCAAATGTGCGGGACGAATAATGATTTTTTCTCCGTTCACTCGGCTTTCTAATAGTTTTCTTAACGTTCATAGATTTTTATTTTTCTACACGAATCATTCTGGAGATTTTTTTCTGTAAAAATAATTCGGTTGGATTTTTCCCGCTCCAATTTTTCTTATTCCTCAGTACCAAATTGATGAAATCATACCCAGAAATTTTTTCTTAAGGATATTCAAGTTATTTAAATTAACATTTTTCACAGAATTATTCTTTTTTTAATTCGTTGTTTATAAATAAATAATTAAAATTGTTTAAACTTTCGGAAAGCTTATTTTTTATGAATAAATTTCTTACGATTTCGAACAAATGGTTTTGATAGTGGGAAATTGATTGTTTATTTATAAAAAATACTCGTAATTTAAAAAAAAAAGGCAATTTTTAAATTATTTAATGAATCTTCCTCCAAAAGTAAACTTGCTAATTTTTTCGAATTTTTGAAATGTTTTCTAACGATTCAATATCGAGAACCATAAAATTATTGTAATATTTCCGGAATGTTCGACTACAAAAGTAGAAAAGCATTCCACTGGAGAAAAAATACCCAAAGTACTTGGATATCCTTAATGAAAAAATTTTAAAAGAGTCAGAAAAGTCAATATCTTCCAACTTTTTCTAAACGAGTAAATTTTTTACATAAAATCAGCGCAAAAACAAATTCATTTTTTAAGTTGAATTCTAATAGCAATTATAGGAGAAAGCCCTAGGTTTTTCCGTCGATTCTTTTATAAGAAAAAAATTCGAATCCCATAGTTTTTCCGTAATCTAAAAAGTACTGAGACGATCGCGTTCAGAATAAAAAATGAAGTAAAAAAAAATTTAATCGTATCACTCGTTCAAGAGAAATCGTTGGCTAAAATTTTCTTCTTCATACACGAACATCTCTTTGAAAACGTCATGAGTGATTACGGGTCATGAAATTCCCACCCACTATCTGCGATCTAGATCGACAAGTGAAGATATTTTTTAATTCGGTAATTACGAAAGAAAACGCCCAAATGAAAAATACTTCAGCTGACTCGTACGATACTGGTTCTCGCCGTTGGCCCAGTCCCTCGGGTATGAGGCAACTTCACTTTCGGCTACTTTCACCACTGTCTAGTGAAATGTTTCTCTCGACCCTGCTCCTTTTCGCATGATTTCCTATATCGTTCTCCTTTCATTTTTATCTATTTCTCCTTCGAACAGGTCTTACACTAATCACTAAATTTATACGTTTAACGCTCTCGTTCACTAATATTTCAAATTGTTTGTAAACGATGGAGTGATCCATTAACGATATCGAAGTACCTCTTACAGTTTTGTACGGACCACACCACACTAGTATATTTGGAGATTTCACTCGTCAAATCTTGTCAATCAATCAAATTTTTTGAGACGAAATAGAAAGATTTTTTGGATAATTAGTGTCAGTCAAATTTAGAAGAAATAGCTTTTCCTCTCAATAGTATTTATCAGTCAGCAATGACATTTTTTTTACCTTCGAAAACCTTTTTTGTTGTATAAAATCGAATCTCATGAAGAGAAAAAAGTATTGAAAATTTCGTATTTGTTGACTTCTAATAGAAAATTCGAAAACTCTAGTAAAAATTCCAATGTTTTCGTGTGCTTTCTATTAAAAATATTGAAAGATATAAATAAAAATATTCACGATGAAACTAACATTTTTTTCATTAGTTGAAAGGAGTGAATTTCTAATAGCTTGGGTGAACATTACAATTTTTGTGAAACTTTTACTTGAAATATTGGAATTTCTCCCTAGCATACCACACATTCTTCACTGGAATTTTAGTAAAATCTCGTGAAAAAAGATGCGCTGTATCTATACAAATATTCCGGGATTTCCTACAAATTAATTTTATTGCAAAGAGGCCAGATACGTCAAATATATTACAATGCTAGAAAAATTGAAAAATTGAGATTTCATGACCAATCGATTACTAATTCTCAGGAGAGTCACATTGGATTCGATTTGGGGGTAAAAAATCACTAAATTCCACACTTCACTGAAAATTCAAGAATACATTTACAGTTACCAATGATTTCTCCGTAAAATTTGGAATTTTCAATGACGAAATTTTTTGAAATTCGAGTGCAACCATAACATCTCATAATAATCATGAACAATCAATAGCAAAAATCATAAACACATGAAACAGAAGTGGACCCACGTGCCCTTACCCTTCCAAAATCCCTACCGACACACACGACTGTGATAAACCTGAATCGCCTCCCTCCCGCGTCCCTCCGAAACGCGGAAGTTTCCACTCGATCGCACGGGCTCCATGGGCAAATGCCACAAGAATCGCGGGCGGGAGATGGTTCGAAAATCTCCTAGCGAGTGATTTCACTAGAGGGGATTGACACCAGGGGATACGTCCTCAAAATTCACCATAAAACCTTAAATTTTCAATGACGAAATTATTCAAAATTTGGGAGCAACCATACCATACAAAAAAAAATCCAAAAAGCCTACCCGAAACCAGTCAAAAATTAATAGCTCCCTCCAAATTTCATAATAATCATGAATAATCAATTCACAAAAATCATAAATCTCCCCATTTCCCCGCGCCCCTCAAATCCGCCATAAAATCTCAAATTTCCAATGAAGAAATTTCTTGAAATTTCGCATACAATCGCACCATAATAAAAAAAATCCAAAAAACCTAGCGGAAACTTCAGTCAAAAATATATCCCCCCTCCCCCTGAAGTCTCATAATAATCATGAACAATCAATAACAAAAATCATAAACACATGAAACAGAAATGGACCACGTGCCCTTATCCTTCCAATATCCCTACCAACACACACGAACGTAATAAACCTGAATCACCTCCTCCCCTCGCACCCCCTCCAAACGCGGAAGTTTCTCTCCACTCGATCGCACGGGCTCCATGGGCAAATGCCACGAGAATCGCAGGCGGGAGATGGTCCAAAACTCTCCTAGCGAGTGATTTCAGTAGAGGGGATAGACACCAGGGGGTACGTCCCCTCAATCCACTATAAAACTTATCTAGCAACACCAAAGAGGGGGAAAAAAATCGACAGGGAATTGGCGAGAGTAAATGGGTGGGTGGGTTATGGAGGGGGTTCTCCATGCGTGTAGACTATTCTGAACGGTGGGGCCCGGTATGCGACGGTTGGTTCTCCAGCGCGGTGGCCGTGCCGCGCCGCTGTTGAACGGAGCCGTCAGTGTCTTCTTGAACGTGAAACGCGATCGACGAACTATCGCGTTGCCCCAGTTCAATCCCAAAATTAATTCCCCCTCCGTTTTCCGTTTTGCATCAGTTGGCGGGGATTCGCCATTCTAATGAAGATGATTTTCACGTGTGGGACATTGCGAGCCTCAATTACATGATACCGAATGACTTAATCATTTGTGAAAATAATTGAAGATTTCTAGGCAATGTTCTTCCGTTTTCACCTGTTTTACGGACTATCAAAATTTCATAAGAAAAAAGGACTGTTCATGAGATTGTGATTGCGAGTGGAAGAGGAAAAGATACAAAAGTTCAAACAAATGCAATTAATCATGAACAGTTTGAGATGATTTAATGCAGTGAGAATTGTCGCTTAACGTCGTCAATAGCCTGTGGTGTAATACCGAACACATCTTAACAATAAAGAATTCTATAAATATATTAGTGTTCAGTATAAATAACTTGTGATTGATAGTATTCGCTGATAAATCAAACGATCGGTTACGAATGAGCTGTGCAATGGAGTATCAACAGTTGGTGCCACCACCGGTACCGGTGTCGCATCAATCTCACCATTCTCAACAGCAACATCCGAATCAACAGTCCCATCATCAGCAGGCGGTAGTTGCAACAGTACCACCCCCACATCCTCACATTGTACTTGCGCCTGCGCATCAAACCCAACAACCGCCCCCAAATTTGCCACCACCTACTACACACGCGCATCAAGTACATCCACCCCTACCCTCTATTCACGATGACAGTACGAGCTCTAGGTGGACACAGTATCAGCATATATGGCGACAGCATCATGTTTATATGAATGGTGAGATGATTGTTCATCTGCATTATTTTTTATACCGTTGAGGCACGTGTGATTACTCACCTGTTGCCGGAGAATCAATTTTCATTGACAATTGCAATCTTCATTCGAGGTTAAACGGAACATTTGTTGTTGGAGAAACTGTCACATATCAGTAAAGTGGCTTACGAATGAAAGAAACACATTTGTCGAAATACGATCGTCAAATTCAGTAGTAAAGTCGTGGAATAGTAAGTCAATTCAACTTGGTGGTTAGTTTTTCACGAATAACTTAGAATCGAAAGGAGATAGCGTAATTATTGGTCAGACCTTTTTTGTGGAGTGGAATGAGATCTACAAAAACGGTCTGAACAACAATGTCGCTATCTCCTTCGGATTCCGAGTTATCTGCAAGAAACTGAACCTCATTCAAAGTTATCTTCAAGTTATCGCGTCGGAACAAAAATAAAAATATTTCTTAAAATAAAACTATTGAATTCAGTAGTGAAGTAGTAAAGTAGGGTGACACAAATGTCTGAAAATGGAGATATCCCCCAAAACTCATCGTCAATCATACTTAAGTCATTTTGTTTGGTGCTACCCGTAGAATAAAAATAGAATGAAACAAGATATTTATTTGAAATTTGTTTATATTTGTCTTTATCTCAGAAGTGACGCTTGACAATGATGAGAGGGATGGACATCATTAGAAAAATCGTAAAATAAGAAGTCAATTCACGATGATGGTTCGTTTTTCATGAATATCTCAAAATCTGAAGGAGAAACCGCATTTATTGTTAAGACCTTTTTCATCGACTGAAATGAGATCTGCAAAAAAGGTCTAAACAACAATGTCGCTATCTCCTTCATCTTCCGAGTTATCTTCAAGAAACTGAACCTCATTCAAAGTTATCTTCAAGTTATCGCTTCGCAACAAAAATGAACATGTTTCTTAAATAAAACTATTGAATTCAGTAGTGAAGTAGTAAAATAGGCTGACAAAAATGTCTGAAAACGGAGATATCCCCCAAAACTCATCATCAATCAGAGTTAAATCATCTTGTTTCGCGCTAGCCGTAGAATAAAAATAGAATGAAACAGGATATTCAGTTGAAATTTGTTTCTATGCGTCTTTATCTCAGGAGTGACGCTTGACAATGACGAGAGGGATGGGCATCATTAGAAAAATCAAATGCCAGCCCATCCCCCGGGGTTTTTCATTCAATCTCGTGATAATAGACACTTTTTCGACAATACAAATACACTTTATTGAATACCTTTTTTTTACCTCTCGAATAATAGGATATTGTAGACTGACAGGTCTTAATATTACGAATAGAGATTACCGGACGATAGAGTCCCTGACCCACTGACCGTAACCTCGACGACCTTTTCCGAAGTGTTCACGTACATGTGCAGTTAATCCCCGGCCCAAACGAAGCCACACGACGTCGATGGCTTCGCACCAATGTATATCATTCTGGGTGAATAATTTTTCATGTCACTGGTTATTGTTAAACCGCAGAGGTGTTCGTTGAAAATTACCATCGATGAATTATTGGGTGCCACAGGTTTATTATCACTAGAGAAAACCGAAGATGTTCTCAACTCATTGTAATTGATTGCAGTCCTTGAGGCATTTCTCATTCTCTGTGGCTTTTTCAGTGTCTCATAATTCCGGAATTACACAATATTTCTCAGAGCACTTGTTGACTCTACTGTATTAAAAAATTAATTTTGAAATTTTATGTGAAAAATTTTGCTTTGTTATTGAAAAAGCTATTGATTCTTGGAATGTTCAATGAAATTATAATTTCCAGGTAGATATGACAATGCAAATTATTGAATCTTTCGGTCATGAATTTTTTAAATTTTTAATCTATCAAAAATTCGATTGAGTCTGATGTTTAATTTTTATAATGAGTTGGAGAATTCTAGCTGAATAAGAATTTTATTGGACGATGTGATCTTAAATTGAATTCAAATTCACAACATTAAAAATTGAAATGAATGGATTACTTGAATTTTAAGACATTTCAAGCTCTATGGTGATCGCAATTTTCCTCTTTTCATGGGATTAATCACCCTGGCATCGTTGCCACCGCTAGGAAAAGGATAACCGTCGCAATGTCAACTGCCTAATGACTGCATATTCGTTAACTACACCCAATAAACGTCCGTTTCACTCAAAATTTTGAAAATTCAGGAAACTCCTTGCTAGATTTTCAATCGTTCAAAAACCCAATTGATTCTGAAGTTTAATTTTCACAAATTTTCAAGTATTTCAGCTGTCATTGACGTATTTTGTGGAATTTCTAAGATAAACAGAAAATTCCGTGAGCGATTTGACTTGACATGGAATTCAAATTCCTGACATTGAAGATAAAAATGCATTTATTATTTCATTTTCAAAGAATGTTCAACATATTCAAATTGCAATATTTCTATTTTCATACGATTCATCAACTCTGACGTCGCTTTGACCTTTGACAAAAGGTTAACTATCCCAATGCCGATAGTGTCTAATAACTACATCCAAGGAACTTTCGTTTCATCCCAAATTTTGAAAAATCAGGAAACCTCTTTGCTGCTTTGACAATCTATAATAAATTCAATTGAATCTGATGTTCATTTTTCACAACAATTTCAAAAATTCTAGTTGTCATTGAAATATTTATTTGAGTTTCATCAACTATTTTGCTACATTTTCAATTCATCAAAAATCCCATTAAATCTGAAGTTTAATTTTCACGAAAATTTCAAGTATTCCAGTTATCATCGAAATATTTTTTTAAATTTCCAAGATGAACAGGGAATTTCATGAACGATTTGATCTAAAATTGAATTGAATTCAATTCATGACATAGAAAATAAAAAGAGCTCTATGCTCTTTGTTGCATTGACAATCTATCATAAATTCAATTGAATCTGATGTTCAATTTTCACAACAATTTCAAGAATTCTAGCTGCCATTGAAATATTTTGTGGAATTTTCAAGATGAAGAGGAAATTTGATGAACGATTTACCTGAAATTGAATTCAACTCAATTCATGACATTGAAAATAAAAAATTTCTTTGCTCTTTACTGTACTGATAATCTATCACAAATTCAATTGAATCCGATGTTCAGTTTTCATAACAATTTCAATAATCCCATCTGTCATTGAAATATTTACATGAGCTTCATCAACTCTGACGTCGTTTCGATTTCTGTCAACAGGATAACTATCGCCATGACAATAGTGTCTACTTTGCTATCTTTTCAATCCATCAAAAATTCAAGGGATCCTGAAGTTTAATTTTCGAAAAATTTCAAGTATTCCAGCTGTCATTAAAATATTTGATTGAATTTCCAAGATGAACAGGCAATTCCCTAAACGATTTGACCTCAAATTGAATTCAAATCCCCAACATTCCTCGAATTTCAAAGAACACTTAACATTGCGATATTTCTATTTGCTAACGATTCATCAACATTGTTTCGACCTCTGCAAAAAAGGATAACTATCGCAATGTCGATAGTGTCTACAACCACCTAACGAGTCCACATTCGTTAATTACACCCGCGGAGCTTCCGTTTCACTCCAGGTGAGCCCATTTTCTTCGAAGCGATAAATGCAAAAGAAAAAAAAAGAAATAAAAGTTGAAAAATGATAAAGCGGATGGGAGATAACAGCGGCTAGTCTAATATGTATTCTAAGCCGTTCTGTATGTACCCATTCTACATAAATTTTTCTCTTTTCCGAGTCTCGAAAATTATTCCTCCGAGCATATTTATTCAAAACGAAAATAAAAATGAGGAACAAAAAGGCCGGCTGGGAACCCGCAGTTTCTTTTTTGTGGGAAATGAAAGAGAAAGAAAAAAAATGACGTGAGATAAAATAAGAGACGTTTCCGAGGTGTCCGTTTGTGCCTAACCTTTACAACTTGTATTTGAGTGTGTCTGTGTGGGCCGTGATTACTTTCTCCAACCGGGGTGCGCGCTTGCTCGAACGCCCGTCCGGCACGATCACGGGCCGGGGCGCACCTCAAGAGACCCAAAGAACTACAACCGAGACTTCTTCTCTTCCGGGTTTTCGAGGCAGATAAACGGCTACATTTTCGCCAGCTCTCCTTTCTTCATCTTCCTGTTCCCCCTCCCTCTCCCCCCCCCCC